ATATACAATCTATATATATATATATACACTGTTGGTACCTACTTTCCCTTATCAATTAGTAACATATCAATGTTCGCCATCTAGTGCATCATATGTTTGCCCTGCCAAACATGTCCGACGTAAATCTTCCTGATTTCCAAAAGAATACCTTCCATTTATTCCCCTCAAATATCTTAGTTCAGTAAAAAAACCAAAACCTACTATCGATTTTTTGTACTCGTTTCCCCACTTTCCAAGCAAACTGTACACATGACTGGATTTGATTTATTGTTGGTGTTTGTCGACGCTACTATCATTACGGCTGGGACAGGGTGTCAGTAAATGAAGTATCTAAATTCACGCCCGCTGCAAAGCGAGCGCCCGTTTCCCATGGCTCGTGCCCGCACAAGCCGACACCTTTTCAAGCCCGAACATCACAGCGCCACGACAGCACCACGATTGCTTCAATATTTAGGTAGTCTTAGTTCGCATACCAGCAGTCATGAAAGGAAACTTTGTTAGTTGCTCCATCTGGTGTGTTTTTCGAAACTGATATATTACGCCTTGCTGGTCCGATCGCGGGCATCATTGCCCATCATTGAAAAAGTTGCCACATCCGGTGTCTCTTATCGTACTATCAATCCTCAACTGCTGGTGGAGCTCGTGCTAAATCGATATTCCATCTCGGTCAGCATCAACTCCAACAACCATGTCTCTTGCTATAATGCTGTGAAAAGTATCGGTTGATGTGTGGTATATTGCTTATCAACAAACGGTCATTCTAATTTAGCATGCCTCGCAGTGGTTGTACCGCACTTGCACTTTTGCTGTGGATGGGAAGCGAGGGTTGCGACCGAGCCATATTAAGCCGGGACCAACAAATCAAAGTGGTTGCCGGTCCACAACAAGCGAATGGGAATGGGGCCGGCTTCTGGGCCATCCGCACTCGCACGTTCTTGCCAAATGCAGATTTTCCGATCTGCTCGTTGGGCGTAAACGTCTACGGAGATGCTGCGAAGGCGGCAAAAGGAGGAAATGTTGGCGAATGTTCCATATGTCCCGGGCTTCTTGGCCCAAGACCAATACTCATGCCAACTGAAATGAAATACTACCAACACAAGCCCGTGCACGCGACAATGATTTTGATGGGCGTCCCAGGCCAACGACTACGTCACTTCATTGACGCTTGCGGGAGGGAACCCGTCCAGCTGCGCATAGCATCATAAACGTCCTCCCGCAGCTCTTGCACAACAGGCATCGGGTCCTGTCACTCTTACATCAAGAAGGTATATTTCCTTGCCCTAGTCCCATCTTTCACAATATCAGTCCTGAAGCCTGTGACGTGGGATTCCCGACAGGAGCTGCATGTCGAGGAAAAGAGCGCGGTAGAGGCAAACACCATCACCGGTGATGTCAAGGACCTCGAATTCCTCATCTCCGGGTCGATCCTTCTCGTACTTCTTTTCCTCGCGATCAAGAAACAAGCTAGCGAAGGGATCCTCAAAGTCGAGGCCCAAAAGAACGCCTTCTTCGCTTGCCTCTTTTTTCTTTGACGTCCCAGGCTCCTCGATATCGGCTTCTAAATCTAGGGACCGTTCTAGAACCACCTTGACTGGTCGGGACCATCGACGGCCCCCACGCATTCTGCCGCGCTTTGATGGGGGTCGCCCGGGGCGGCCCGTGGGCTCATAATCCCCATCGAAAATGGGGTCTGGCTCCTCCATGGGCAATACCCGAGCAAAAACCCTTCTTGGGCAGCATCTTCTTCCGCCACGGACCAGTCGACGTTGCTGCGATAGTAAGGCGCAGAATAAACGTCTTCTGGAGCCATGGCAGTATCGTGCCCGGTCCGTCGGATATCTTTCGGAATGAATTGTCCGAAATCAATCCGGTCGGAAGCCTTGCCCTCCCATGGTTCCTCTGTCAGCCAGGATCCGTCCTGCGGGTTGTCCCAGAATATGGGATCCTGAAATTTAGAATTGCTAACTTCACAAAGGATGCAAAAAGATCCTGGCCAGAAGCATGCCCTGCTGGACCTTCATCTGCTATAGTGCCCGTCACCCTCTGAAACATTTTCAACATACCTGTGAATGATTCAGAACTACACACCCTCACGAATCCGGACACCCGGCCTCTTGTTTGTATGATGCTCGCCTCACCACGTAATCGCTCGGAATTACTTCCTTTATGGTCGCCAATAAGCGCCAGAATGCTGCTTTCGGCCATTGCCTGGGAGGCAAAGTCTGCTCACCTAGGACACTGCGTCGCCAGCAGTATTCGGCCAGCAGCAACCCGTAGTTCTTGCGTGCTGGCATCCGGACGTAATTTTGGCGCAAGAACCTTCTGACTCTGGAAAACAAGCCTTCGACCGGATTCGTTCCCAATCCCTCGGCATTCACCTTCTCGTTTTTGCTGTGGTTGACCTTCACGTGCTTGAATCCGGCTTGGGTCAAGCCGTTATAGCCACGCCATTCGTCAGTGACGACGGCGGTGCCTGGCCTGACAGTGCTGCGAACTAAACTGGTCAATGTCCGGCTCGATCTGTTCCGCACCAAGCGTAAAACCAAGCGACCAGTTTCCTTCCTCGTCTCTTGGTCCAATTCCACAATGCCGACCACCAACATGCGCATTGGCCGGGTGGTGCGGCCACGAAGTTGCTTGGATGCTTTGCGCTTGGCGAGGAAACACTCGTCAACACAGCAAATGTGTCGGTGGCTGCCTAGCAACTGGGTGTTCTGCTTGTGGAGGAAGGCGACCAGGTAGGACCGGAAAGTATTGTAGATCCTGCCTATAGATCTCTAGCAAATTAGATTTTTCCTCCTAAATCCCGGGTTAGAAGGCATTATTAAATCCAGAAAAGACGAGTCATCTCTCCGAATTTCATGTAAAGATATAGAATATTCAAATCAAGAATTCAAAATGTCCAGAACCCGGTGTAATAATCCTGAAATACTCGACGCCGAGAAGATCCAGAAATCTCGAAACACCCAGACCACGAACCGCCTGGATCTCCCAGAATATCAGAAACCCAGACCTAGAAGACATGGAAGACCCACAACTCAAGCGTCGACAATAGTTATAGTTGGAGCAGCTAGAATCTCCATATCCCAAGCTCAGAAACCGAGAACCTAGATTCGGAACGCCTAGACATCCAGAAGATACGCAACCCCCGGCGAAGACGCGGAAAATCCGCAACCCGAAAGACCCGGAAGCGGAAGACCCGGAACCCCCGACAACAAGCAGAGCGCGGCAGGGTCGAGTGTACAACCGGCACACTCCCACCAAGATCTTAGATGCGGAACATAGAACCCAGACGAACACCTCAACCCTGACCCGAAAGATCCGGAATTGGAACGGCCGGAACTCGGAAAGGTGCTGATCTCCAAAACACTTGCAAGTCCAGAAAGCTTAGGTAAATGGCGAGGACGGCTAGGAAACTCTTGTTTGCGATCGCTTGATTTGCTTCCGAATAGCCAATCCTCGTCCAAAAAATCGCCGGAAATTGTGCGTGCATGGGATTGTCGAGCCAGGAGTTGCCAAGCAATCCGAGAAAGTTGGGAGCCAGGACAGCGTCGAACCTCATAACGACAGTAGCGCAGTAGCATTCTATAGAATAGGTACGATAACGCATAAGAACTAGAACAACTTTTCTTCATAGTTTCTCTAACAGCGTGCTTCCATGTCTTAATATTCAAACTGAAGGGTTGATCTAGTCAGATAGACAGATCGATAGATAGATCGATATATAGACAGGTAGATAGATAAATAATAGAGCAATTCCCAAACATTCTTTATATTCTATCGTTATATATATATATATATATGTGTGTGTGTACTCTTCGGTCTCAAGTCTACTGACAATATAGTGCCTATAGTTAGCCTGTGCTTCGGAGAAAATGCATGCAACATAAACCTACAAATTCTCACCCTCTCCTTGCCCATACGGTTGCTTCCATGAAGGTAGCTTTTTGCGCAAGCCTTCCCAATCCATCCGTGCAGCCCAAGGTCGTCCACCGAGTCGGTGGCAACACACTTTCTACTTTGCGCCTTTCTAAGTTCATGGAAAAGCATGCGGCAGTGCCTGCCGCAAACGAGCAAGAACCGCAGAGTTGTCCCAGGGAATGCTTCCACGACCACGAATTACGTTATGTAAGAGATCTGGCCGGTTGCTTTGCAGTGTCTGCCACATCTCCTCACCAACTTCTGCCCTGATTTGTGCCAAAAGGTATGCTGCACGGAATTCCAGAAACAAATCGCTGCCCATCTCATCTGTTGCCGGTAGATTTCTACGTCGGAGCTCATCGCCCAAAATCTCGTGCAAGTATATGGAGTTGTGCATGCAGTTGTGTGTGGCCCTGCAGACATTATAGATGTTGCCACAGATCCAGCTGAACTCCGTGTGGCAGTGTGAGCAAGTCATATGGCAACATGCATTTGTGCGTTCGATGGGCATGTTGCATCCAGGGCAGCTGCGGAACATAGCTTGTCGCAGGCACTCCTCAATTCGAGGCACGATACCTTGGCATTTTCGACCCGGAACACAGCATTCTCTTGCGACTGCAAATCCGGCGTCGATGTCTCAACGAGTTTCTTTGCGCTTTGTCTTTTAGTAACGACAAGGGCTTATTGACGGCATGGTTCTCGTGTCACAGCGAGAACTGAGCTAATTCATATCCTTCGTGGGGGAGTGCAAGAGTCCTGCGTACTCATACAACATGTGTTCATGTACATGCAGATTTTATCCGGCAATGGGAGGGAACGCTGCCCATCCTATCAACACCTTTCTACTATCTTCCCCGCTTCTCTAAGAATGGCTGCCGTCCCACTATTTGCTCACAGGCAGTCGTCCCAAGACTTAGGACTTAGGAACTTCTCTGAGGGGACCCTGTCGCATCCGAATCCTTCCCCGGATTAGTACTCGCTCTGAAGCGGGCTCAACCCAAGCCCTGACTGAGCTCCAGACGTTGGTAACCCTCCATCATCAAAGCAGACCGGCGGGCTTCCTCCTCGCAGCTGAGGCCATGATGAAAGGGCGAGGCGCCGCAGCGGACACAGGACTCCATGAAGCACACCTCGCAGATGAGTCTCGACCGATCACCTTCGCCTGCATTGGAGCAGACGATAGGTGCCGTTAGGTGCCGGTGCAGCCCTTTCTCAACTATTCTTGCAAACAGCCCATCTTCGCGTATCTGCATAAAAAGCAAAGGCGCGCCTGCCACCTATCCAAGTCCAAACCGCTTTTTCCGGTGCCCGCATTAAGACGAAATAGTTGCATGGACTGGACATGGCGGTACGAGTGCTTATCTTGTCAGTTCCTATTGCAAAAATTAAGTTAACTTGCGTGCTCCGTGGCCGATCCAAGCACGGTATGGGCAGTCCGGCGTTGGGCAAGCGATTAAAGACCTGAAGCCGAGTAAAGGGTGCTTCGGAGAAAAGCTGCAGACTGCCTAGTTATTAGCCTCTCTCTCTCTCGAACTCTGCAGGGTCGTAGCGACGGCATGTCTGGAGGCATACTACTCAGGACTTGTGTCCACAAAACTGTACTGACCCAGAGAACGCCATGCACTTCTACATGGTAGTTATTAGCCTCAGCTCCAAATGCACACAAGGTGCGGATCAGCCAGGCATAGGTTTTCCACAGATCTTCGCACGAAGCGGCCGAAGTCAGCAATCGAAAGGACTGCGCGCAGCTGCCGGTGTCCAATACTTCGTCTACATTCTGGTATGGGACAATTGACAGCGCTTTTGCCTGGGCCAAAGATGCATCGTGACTGTTCTGTGGCCGTGAGGCCGCCGCATGCGCTTCGCAAGGTCGCTACAGGCATAGAAGACGATGTGTTCCATGCACCGACAAGTGGCTAGATGTTTAAAGGCACCGAGCGTGAGCCTGGTCCGAGTACTTCGAAACAGGAGCAACTTGTTTTCCGTGAGTCCGGGAGTAGTCCGAAGGAAACTCTAATTCCAACATTCAAGGTTGTTGTTCTAAGTCGTGGGAGCGTGGACCTGCAAAACGTTCAGGCTCGTGAAGCTTCACTGTATAAGCCACTGCCGCGACAACCCTCGCCTCGTCATACCTACAGAACTGGGACAGGATGTGATAATTTGTGGCGAGCAGCCCTCGCTCATCTGCACAGCTGTCCATTGCTGAATGCAGCCGCGGCAAAACCATCCATGACCACAGGGTCGTATTCTCAATGCTCCTCCACGTCGCTGCGTATCTGTGCAAATGGCACAGACCTGGAGGCCAACAGCTCGAAGAGTCGAAGAGGCAGTCGATGCACACGGAGAGAGGGAAAGACAGGCAAAAAGCACCCGAATGACTCTCTGCACTAATTCTGTGAAGCGCCTGCAAGGCCTACAACTGCTCTCGGGAGAAAGGCCAGGCGCTCCGTTCCCATTCTGAATTACCTCTGTCCGGCTGGCCCGTCTACATCTTCTGCTTCTGTTGTCTCATATCCGCCTGGTCCTCGCTGTTCAGGTGGAGGGCCGTTGCAGCATCATCGCCAAGCAGTATATCTCCAGCCGCCTGGGCTGCTAGAGTGAAGAGCACATTCAGCAGAACTAAGCCTAAGGCTGAAAAGCTGATGTAACAGGATGTAACCATTTGTAATCTGCCTCGGTTTCAGGATTAATTTGCAAAATGCTTCAGAAGTCGCGCTGGTGATCACTTGCGAACGAGTTCAGCGCTGCGTTACGCGCTGATTTCAGTTCGGCAGTTAGCGAACCCGGGACAAGGACGGACTTTCTCACCAAAACCGGTTTAAAAGCCCTTGCTGCAGCCAGTTATCGACCACATCTCCTGCAGTGGCTTCCAGCACGGCGCGGGCCCTTCGAGAGGGGCGTGTTATGTGCAGAACTGCCCGGCTCGCCGTGGCGAGTTCCGACAACATGTTTTCTGAACCAGTTTTGCCATTGACCTCCTTGATCTCATCGCCGATGAGCATAAATGTGCCCCAAGGCTGGGACCTGTCTTGATCGTTGTTCCAGTCTGCCGCAGGCGAAGCCGACAAAATGTCCTCTATCAGCACGACATTTTCGTCTTCCTCATCTGCTGCACAGCAAAGGCCGAAGGAGTCTATTTCGGCGAATGAGGTTGCAGCGTCATCAGTGCTGCGAACAAGCTCCACGATGAGGTCCTGGCTGGCAAGCTCTCGTTCGACCAATGCCTCTTGCAGCAAATGTCTGCCAGAATCAGCAAGGGACAGGTTCGACCTGACAGAGCTTGAACGAGTTGGCTCCAGATAGTCCGCAGTCTCAAATCGAAGGAAATCATGGTCCGGATGGACTGTCGCCCGCAAGGGATAACATTCATGGCACAGATTGACTTTGGGACATATACTGCATTGAAATCTTGGCCCTCGAATCGGCTTGGTCCTGCATGAAATGCACGAAACTCCAATGTGAGACTCCACCATCACCGTCTCCAGAAATAATATCAACGGCCCCCGCGCTATGGCTCCCTCCACAGCGGGAAAAAGCAGCAGCCGATGAGCATGCCTTCAGCAGGAGTATTCGGGTCGCAGCAGCCGGGGCCACATCTACTGCACATGCTTATACACTATGGCTATAACCCAAAGCCATTTCTCGCAGCCTTCCAGGTGGAATCTCCATTTCTGCAACTGCCAAAAGTTCCGATTGGGTAGCCTCGGACTCAGGACGCGGCCAACTGAAAGCGCACCGAAGTCTGCATGACAAACCGGCAACACTGAAGCTCGTTCTGCCTGATGGCCCTACCAGCTTTGCATATCTTGACGCACAGTGCCAAGTCGAACTCGTCCCCTGGCGCTTTGAATGCAAAATCAACCCCATCCGTACCTCGGAGAGGTTGCTCTGCTTTCGAACCTTCCCTTTCCGACCGCGTCCTATTGCACCTTCGGTGCCTATGCACAGCCAGAAACAGAAAATGCCAACACTTCCTGCAGTCTAGGTCTCCCCACATTGGCCTCAAGCCTCCATTTGTCGAAGGGTGGGTATGCTTGCTTCGTAGCTTCCCAGCTCGCATGGCCGCCACCGGTCCGACCTGCGAAAGGGACTCGTGGCCTCCAACGCGCATGCAGGCTTACTCGCAAGTAAAGGAAACACCAAGAGATCTCAAAAAATCCAAAATAACCCAGAAGACTAGAAGCTCACGTACGTGATCCCCACACAGGCATTAAGGACAGTTCAGAAACGAAGTTCAGAAGGATGCGAGACCTTGAGCATGTACCATGCTGGTTAACTACGGCATTTCCCTGCATGCTCCGTCTGCCTTGATGCTGCAGACAAAGCTGTGTAGTCCTCTCCGGCGCTCATCGCGTTGATCCAAGACAGCTTGAAGCGCAGAGAGATTGGCAGAGCGGATCTTCACAAAGACCTTCATGCCAAGAGTATGCGAGAACGGCTTTCGAGATGTGAGTTCAAAAAGCCGCAACTTGCAATGCCAACAGCAACACATCTAAGCAGGGTGACAGGCCCCAACTTCTCCGCTCGGGCCTGTTGCTCTGCTAGGGTGGACTTCGAGCAAATCAGCGCTTTGATGGCTCGGACAAACCCCAACCTGCAAAGCAGCGGCTCACACAATAGACACCTGTATCTACCATCTACATCGAAGTATACACATGGGCATGGTTTCTGTCCATGTATCTGTCGGTATCAGCGCACCGAAATTTATTCTTGGGGTTCGCGGTTCCAGGACTGCTGGAACTTGAACCAAGATTCGGGAAGAGGACTGCACTTGGGCAGCTCCGGCCCGAATGCCCTGAAGTACGGCAGGGTCCCTGGAAAACAGAATTCAGGTACCAACGTATAGACTCGTATAGACACAGAGACATATAGAGACACCACACTGTTTCAGAAGGCCCGGGGGTGTACAGCCATCTGTGCTTATTTTGAAGCCGGGTAACCAACAAGTGCTCTGTGTCCCGGGCAAGAAACGTTCTCACTGGATGTTGAATCGGTGAAACACCGTGTGCCGATAGCTGGACGGCGTTAGTGGCAATTAGTACAAGCGCGTGAAAATTCTGTGTTGTAACCCAAATATGGGCCTGGGAGTCAGCATATCCGAGCATGCTATACTGTCCCGCAAAAACTCTTGATACTTCGAGGCCTGCTTCGTATAGGTTCATGACTCACTTCGAAGTGCATCTTGTCTGCCCGCCTGAATTGAGGTTGTTCCATCGATCGCAAACCAGGCAGGGCCAGAGCATCCAAAGCTTGGGGAATCTTGTAGTCCTCCTTGGTCCCACAAAACCGGCAGATTCCCGCATCAAGTGCAGCTTGGAGGCAGAACCCGCATTGGCAAAGGCCTATCCGACAATAGGTATGGCTGTGCATGGTAGCCTCGACCGGATTCTGGGCCCGTGCCCTCGACAGCCGAGTGTTCAGCCGCCTCGGAACATGAGTCCTAAAGAGTCAGAGACCAGCACGCTGGCAAGGCCACATACTCCATCCCTGAGTGGCGAGTGGCCGCAACTCCTCTTCATCTGCCGGAAAGCTCGGGTCGTTCTGCAGCAGTCCGGGTGGTGTGGTAGCTGTGTAGAAGCCTGCCGTGCTGGCCAAGCGTCGAGCAGAACATGGCACAATAGACGACCACGGGGATGCTTGGGTCTCTTTGCAACCATGTCACTGGTTCCCTCATGCCAGCCAATCTGCACATTGCCATCTGGTAGCACGCTCCGCACGACGACAGGCTTCCAGGCCCCGGCGAAGAAAAACCGTAAATGGGCTCCCTCTACGATCATCTCGGGTCTGACCTGCATGTACCACATGCGACACATTGACACTCCTGTTCACGCGTGGCACATGTAACATAGTACATAGAGGCAGCAGCTGTCCAGACATGATCCGCGCAACAATGACAAGGGGGCGGCACGTGCGCCCACCGGTGTCTTTGGCAACGGAAATCTCGCCGGGGCTTCTCGGAACTGCTCTCGTGTGGTCAGGTGGGTAAGTGTCTGAGTTCAGACATCCGGACCGGGTCGTTCTTTAACTCAAACGACAGCCTTTCTGTCACACCGCTCGGATTTCGTGGTCGGTGCCCAAATTGTGCACTGGCACGTGTACATCAAGCCACTTTAGATACATTGCACCAAAACGAAAAGTATGCTGGAATGCTGAGGTCAAGCCGCCGCATGCCGTCCAGCAACAAGACTCGCAGACCGAGACAGAGCTGGTTGAAGCTGCAGCGGTCTGAGAATCGTCTGCTGCTCAGCAGGGCTTAACCAGTACCCAGGCCTGCCATGTGCAAACACTGCCTTCTGGCGGCCCGCACAACAAACAGTCCGTCTGTAGCATGCTTGACAACACCTCTCCTCAAAGAAATCTGCAGGTTGCCGGTTCTGGGCATGACTGCCGTCACCTCGCACTGAGTCACAATGGCGCAGATGCCGTTAGACTGCGTTGACAGTCCGGTCAGCGACGAGTCGCAGTTCCTCTCCGCCACTGATTTCGCTCTCTGCAGAGATACTCGATTGCGGCTCCGGCTGGATATCTTGCCACTTGCGCTTCTGGCTGCCTTGGCACGGTTGTCTGGACACGCACTACATTGCTTCTACGGGCGACCGCAACGGTGACAAGAACACCACAGACAGATGGCAGTCAGGTGAAGGCGCACGTGCAGCCTGGATGAACAATTGCAGAGGCGCATAAATGATTCTTGGCTTCATGCTAGTAGCTGAGTAGCTGCTACCACGGTAGGCTTCCCCGAATGACGGCGGTATCCCTCGAGAATCTGAGGCAGGAGAGCTGAGGGACTGCCGAAAGCTGGGGGACTCAACTCTCGTGGCGACGGGGACTGAAGAGGCGCCTTGGGGCATTCAAGCTTCGGATACATCTGGCGAGAAACAAACACGAAAGTACTTTCGACAACATCCGCAGCTGCTGTGCCCTGGCTAGCATTACTAAACCGCTGTAACTTTCTTAATGCTTTCATTTATCTCCAAGGATGAGCAGACTCCGAACCATAGCCAAGTCTCTGCACCAATCGAAGGGTTGGGCTGTGGACAGAGATCCACTGCCCAGGCTCCGATGAGATCTGAGTAAGGCTATGTCATTGGCTACGGCAATCAGCAGGGAGAGCTCTCAACCATGCCACGGGCCAGAGACAGCGGCAGCTTCCCTTCCCTGCCTCCAACATGTTGAAGGGACTTCGCGCCGTGATCACACCACGCATCTGAGATTGGAACCGTGCGCTCAGGTATTCCACCCGCACGCCAACTATAAACTCTGGTCTGGCGAGCGGTTGAACTACCGTCCTGGCCGCCGAAGTCTGGTAACATGGCGCAACAGACAGTGCAAGCATGGGGTTGCATGGATTCTGGTATGCGTCTGGAGTGGCTGCTGAACTGAGTTGACCCGCGGCTTTTGATCTCTCAACTGTGCAGAACGTCGCTGCTGTGAAACGGTGCAGGTGGGTAGATGAGGTACAAAAGTCAGACATCAGACCAGCTTACTGTAGACTCGCGCATGGCCAGGGAAGCTTAGACGAGCAAGCTCGAATCACACGTGCACCTGCTCCGGTACCTTCAATCCGTCTCCCCCACTCTGCTACAACTGCTTGCTCATGTTCCTTATGGAACGATGCAGTGGCTTGAACCTGGACTTCAAAAAACAGGGAAGATGGTGTAGAACAAGTCCAATCTACACTCTAGGGAAGGCCGACCAGCGAGCGCGTGAAACGTCTCAGAGGGACATGATCACGCTCTGGCTGGTTGAGCTTGCTGCGGTCGTGGATCGATGGTCACCTCGGGTGACGTTGTCTTCATCCTCGATGAGCAGGGTCTGCAAGCTGCTGGGTGGCATCGCCAGCAAGCCCAGCATCTCTGTCTGCGACTTGTCCCAAGACTCACCGGTGCAGTAATGGCCCAGCGCCTGAGCACTCCACCGACCATGAAACTCGTTCCAGAAGAGGCGTGTCAGGATGAGGCCGTTGTACCTACTCGCCTTCTTGCGGTCCTCCGGCATGAAATAGCGCAAGAGCTCCCTGCCTGTTGCATCTATGACCGTGCTATGAGGTTGCTGAACCATGCCGAAAGTAGTCTCAGGATCAGCGATGTTTCCCACCAAGAAGGCCACAGCAGCCTCCTCCGGGAGCGAGTCCAACTCGAGAAACACTCCAGCAGAAAGAGCTCCGTCTCCCGTATGAAAAGCTCCCTTAACACTGCTAGAGTTCTCAGCTGAGATTGTTTCTAGATGCTTCCCGTCGGCACTGTAGAGGACCAAGGCAACGGTGATGCCGCTGGCTTCCTCCGGAGAGTACCAGTCCCAGCCCATGCCGACGAAGACTCTCTTGTTAACGCCGGTCGCAGGGAAAATCGGACAGTCTGCGACCGAGCCCTTGGCCATGGCGACGAATGATGCCTGCGCCCGTTGCTTCTTTGACACCATGGGGAGCACCTCCTTGATGAATTTGCCGGGCAAATCCGGGAAGTCCATGAAGTGCCAAGCCTGCTTCGTCCACTCACATTTGGGGATTAGGGTCCAGCTGTTCCAGTCCTGGCGCTTAAGGACTCCCAAGCAGCCCATCTTCACGGCCAGAGGCACATCCGTACTGATCTCGCCCAGACAAACGTTTCCACTGCTGTCAACATTCAGGACCATGTGCGATGCAATGCTTGCCAGGGTGACTCCTGTAGCAGACGTCACGATGCAGATCACCATGGCGACGTCCATTGGTAGCAAGTCTAGCGAAACCCAAACGGTGCCACAGCATGCGCTGCACATGTTTTGTGCCGGCGCGCGTGCCGTGAGGCGCACAGCGGACTGGAACGCCGTGAGGTTGCGGCTGTGCACGGCATCGATGATTTTCCCATCTGTGTTGACAACAAGTGCCTGCAATGACAGCTGCTCAACAGACGGTGTCAAAGACCAGTCCCAGCAGAGGGCGAAGGCACAGCTGGAATCTGGCTTCAAGGCGACTTCCTCGTTGATAGGGAGCTGAGGCCTGCCTGTTGGAGTCCTAGGCGCGGACTTCGGTACTTCAAAATGCCGTTCCAACCTCTCCTGTCCATGCAGCTTGTCGTGCATGGCTCGGAGGGCACTCCAGCGCTGCACACGGAGAGCTTCGCGTTTCTCCGCTTCGTCAGCCTGTTTCCGATGTTTCGAGGAACAACTATCAAAAAGCTCACGGTCGGCATCCATGAAGTTCTTCAGCACATCCAGTGTTTTGCTCATCACGTTGGCTGCCCACGCCTGCGTTACATTGCTGTACAAGGCGCTCACAATCAGCGGCATATCATCACGACAGTTTGCAACGGTGGAGCGAACCGTCGGCTGGTGCCGCCAAACACCGAGGGCCTTCTCTGCCACCTCTGAATGTGGGCACATGACGCAAGCCGACAACCGCTTGGCCACAGCAGGGCCAATAGACTTGAAGTCCGCGCTGGGCATCTGGTGGATCATGTCCTCTAGCTCACCAATGAAGATGGTCTGCTTGGAGCTGGCGCACTGGGGCCAATAGCGAAGCAAACCCAGAGCGACAGCCTTGGTAAGGCCAGACTCCTTCTTGCAAAAGGCTTTCACGCCGTCCTTCAGCTGCGAATGGAAGAAAGAAAGGTGGTCAAGCTTGTACAAGGGCAGCAGCACCTCGGTAAGCACATCGCGATGTTCCTTCCGCAAGGGGGTCTGAAAACTTCCCACAATGCGGGCAGAAAAGACCTCCAGCAGCTCTGATAGGCCGCACTGGGGAGTTTCACCATCCTCCAGGTTCGCAGCCCTCTGGCAAAAGGCCTGGATGGTTCTTCGGATTGTGGAGCGCAAGTTGCTCAGTTTGCTATAGATCTTGGTGATGAGGGTTTTCAGAATCTCCCGTTCTCTTGGATCATCGGACTCGATCAAGTCAATGAGCTTGCTCACGAAGAGTTTGTCCATGCCCGCGGCTTGGGCGGTAGGGAAGTCAATCTCTTTGCTCTGCACCACCTTCAACAGCAGCTCGTACACGAGCTCCAGATGGGGCCAAGTGTGCTCTAAAAGGGGCTCGTCGTCATCTCCGTCCAACAGATCCATGGGTGTGCGGTCTCGGTGCATGAGAGTGCGGAAAGCGTTCCTCCTGACCAACTCCACAACATTGCCAATCAACGTAGTTGGGTGATGGCCTTCTGTTTCGGTGCCTCCACTGCTGGCCTGCAATCCGGAAGACGTCGGATCATCAATGTCGCTTTTGTTCGCTATGATCTTGGGGTTGCTCTTCGACTTCTTGTCGTCTGACTTCTCGCCTGGCCAATATTGCGTGATCTCCAGGAGCGTGTAGCGCTTGCCCTCTTTCTCGGTCATCATTCTGTCATTCCTAAAATCGTACACTGTGAAGCAAAGCTTTAGCTTCTGAATGAGTAGCTCATTCAAAGCGTCGGGATCATTGGCACATTCCTTCAGGCTCGGAAGCTTTGCGAAAGGAGTCCCGCATGGGATCATCGCAAAGAAGTCTTCGCCATCTTTTCCACTCTTGTTCTTCCCTGCCTTGCTTGTTCCCGGGGTCTTTTGCTTTGCTTCGCCTTTGCTTTCCTTGGGTGTTTTTGGCTTGTCTGGAGAAGTGGAACGGCCAGACTTTGCCGTTGGGCTCCCTCCACCGACTCCCTCGGTGCTGCGCAAGGAAGGTGCCTTGGAATCCTTCGATGCCAATGAGGAAGCCGAGGATGTCGAGCTTCTTGGAGAGGAACTGCGCGAGCTCGGGCCCAAGACTTTGGTGTTGGACATTCGCTACGCGCTGAGGCCTAAGTTAGGCCAAAGGTTCTAGAACTTGTGCATCGGGGCGACTGCCCAGCACATGACTGGTGAACTGTAGACTATAGCGCAAGCTTGAGCCATATGGCTTGCACTGGACACAACGATTGGCCAACCTGCCATGCAACGGAACAATCAATGACAACATGCCAAATGAGTGAACAGTAAATTTCCTGATGCCCTGTCGTCCCTGGCCTGAAAAGCTGATTTGGCAACGCCTGGATCCACTCACCCGGATGCCCCGGACGTGGAAAGAGCTGTGCTGGAAGCACTCCGAAAGCATCAGGTTGCTGCAGTTGCTGCATGGGTCAAGGTAGATGTGCTGGGCGACGTCCAACATGTCCAACCCATGCCTTCAGGGTCCTCGCATGCACTCTCCGAGCCCTCATTCTGAAGCCGGAGCCATGGCCGTGTGATCGCACACGCAGGCCTACTCTGATGCAAGACGGCGTCAGCAGTTGAACCAGAACCGGACACCAGTATGCAGGATAGCTCGAGTCTTGCGCTGAACTCGCGAAGCCCGCAATTGCTTTTTCTGCGCTTCTACATTGTCTGCAGACCAGGCAAGGAACTTGGCAAAGACAGCAGAATGCCGGTGACCTCAGCGCTGGCTGGGCCCAAACACGAATTCTCGAGGCAAGCTCCTCCTCAGCAGCGGGCTAGTAAACCAATGGCCGTGAGGCTGAGGGACGTCTCCGGCTGAGACACACCATCCTGAAATGCAAACATGATGCAACTAATCCAGCCGAGCAATCACGAAGTTGCAACAGGTGCCGTGCTCAGCCATGCTGGGAGTGCTGAAGCTTGGCTCTCAAGACCCTATCAGCTCCTTCACAGTTTTTCTGACCAGCGATCTGCCTGCTCTTGTTGTGCAGATAGATTGAGGGGTTCAGGGGGCTCTTCACGGTTCACGCTTGAAGTCGATCGCTGCTTGGGCGTTGTTGTGTCTATGACAGCTCAAGCAGGCGATCGGCAGTCCTGGGAGTGCAGAGAGAAAGCCAGGAACTGAAACGGAATGCCAGGAGAACAAAGCGTTTGAGGTGCCCAACCGGACGTGTTCTCGAGTGAGCTCGCTCGCGTAAGGACAGGACGCGCACCGGGCGGTTGTAGCCACTTTGCAAGACCAAGGCATAAATCCTTAGACCACTCATACACAGTGATCGTGGCGACGTGCGCAGAGAGTCATCACTGCCCTATAGGCAAAAGAAACTTCAATTGCAGCAAGTTCGTCCACAAGGACGGAAGCACAGCCAGAGCTCGAACCCTATCTTCAGCTGAGCCCCAGGCGCAAAGAGCCCGTACCTGGGAGATGTGGTTCAGTAACAGTAGCCGGGCAGCTGCTCGTACGATCTCTTGTCGTGGTCTCCTTCATGCCGGCTGCACTGACTTAGACCCACGCAAATAGCTGGCTCCAGACGTGCTGAGACAGCCTGCACACAGAATGCCGACACCTGAGCAGTGCGAGAAACATATGTAAACGTATCTGCTTAAGAGACGAAGCAACACAGCTGGTGAGGTCCCGAGCTCAGAAGGCCAGGAAGTCTGAGACTTCGGAGAGAACTGCGTGCGAGGATGGCTCCTGGGCCACGAGCGAAGCGAACTGAGCCCTGCACCTGGTGTATGCTGGCCATATACTGGCATGCTGGTGCTTTAAGTTCCATGCCGTCCAAACGCCCCAAACTGAGGAGGTTCAACGAAGTGAGCACGAGACCTGGTGCAAGCTGAGAACAGCACAATCGCAAACGTCCACAACCTGACCATTTTACGGACGGGCTGCCTCATCCTGAGGATCACGCCGATTACACCGCCGATGATAATCGGGTTTGCAGGGAAAGCTATAGCAACCTCTGGACCCGGGGGCGCTCAGTCAAGCGAATTTGATGTCAATGATCTGCCAAAATCCCAAGGCTGAGGTCCTGACAGGATCGCTAAAGGGGTCGGGCTGCCTGGAAGCTGATGGCCTTTCGGGGAACCGTACTTGTACAGCTTTGCATCACGACAAGTTCGCTAATGAGACGAAAGCTGACCTGGACCTTCACTTCCCTACATTGTCGCTGCACTGCAGGCGCAATTGATGTATCCCAACAGTACAGGAAGCACATCCTCGTACAACTCCAAGGTGCTCTCCCAGCATCGGCCGAAGCAGAAGCTTCAAAACCTTCGGCTCCAGCTCATGTCCAATTTTGATGGGTCGTTTATATGGAAGCAAGATCAAGCCAGCATCCTTCTGCAATGAGCCTCTCAGTCTCCTGCCAGCGGCAGCGGCTCGAAGTTCAAGCTGATGGGCTGCTCCTCCGAAGGCATTGATAAAAGTGGGCAACACCCCTTTGAAGCCGTGAGGTGGCTGAGTGGTACAAGTGGACAGTATGCTGATGCGCAGCAGCTCGCCCCCGGCAGGTCCTGATCTGGGCCCGCCACGAGACCTCTTTCAAAAGCGTCAAAGGTCCATACAGTGATCATTGGTTTTATTATGCTTTAGTAGTGCAAGAGCTCGTTGATTTGCCCTTATTTGGTGGCCCAAGCGCTTGGAATTAAATCCCGAACCGGCACGTTCATGCTGTGCACGCAAATCCTTGACCGGTATGCGCATGCCGCGCATGTGCAAGCAGCGGTGAGAAAAGATTATTTCACGGTCTGCCATTTGCAGGCAGCATGAGGCGCCTACGGCCTACGGTACCCACAATCCTGGAGACAAAATTGTGTAAGCTCCTACCCTCTGGGTGGAGTTGTGAGATCAATCTTAGGAGTAAGCATTCGCTTTTGGCGCTTCGGAGCTCTATCCATCGAACTCGGCTCAGCTTTAGACAAGTTTTCATGTGGCTCAGCTTTGCAGAAACCTTCACCCTGCTGCTTATGCAGTTTTCGATCCCATTCATTGCATTCAGCTCTTGCTACATCTAGTTGATCTTCAAGGGATTTGACGCACGTTTCGTGGTGTTTCGTCTTCCTCTTCATGACATCTTGCAAAACACTGATCTGATCGCAAAGACCCTTCATCTACGCTACCCCAAAATCGTCATTCCCAGATCAAGATAACATCAGTGCATATTTTCAAAACATAGCACGTCTACAAATCGTAATATCTCATAGCCAAGAAGCATGTCAACCCAGTACTCCAAAGCTTGATTGAGGACGTTGGGCAGGTGATTGTGAACTGGCGATTTCCGAAGATTCCAGAGTGGGACTGGGTTGAGATTCTCAAACTTGTCCAAGTCTGGAATCTTCGGAAATCGCACCTTCTCATGCTGCCATGAAGGCGCTGGCACTGGCGGCTTAATTTTGAACATGGCTATCCATCTCACGCCTTCGGTGCCCGAGTGCTGCTGCATAGAACATCAGATTTCAATAGCAGCTGCCACGGCACAGACTACGCCAAACGTAGTTATCTGACCTGGCAGAGGATCTCCCGAGTAGATCCCACCTCGGCCCGCCACGAGACCCACGACAACGAGGATGAGGGACACCTGAGAGATGCTTGAAAATAGAGACGTGTCGTCATGTTCGTAGATGCACTTACGGACCAATGCCGGGGCGAGTTGAAGTATGTCTTTTGAAAACCACGGTTTACAAGCCGTCGCCGTCCGTTAAACATGCTAGACTACGCTGCGAGGTTTTTACGTCACACCGTCTGCAGTCCGGAGACTCTTCCATTTCGGCTTACTCGAGCCACTTGCAGATGCGCCGTACAGGTTGTAGGTTGGTCTTGCTCACTTGCCGCTGACTGCATGCTCACAGGACAAGCTCACCCACCCAGTCCCAGCAAGGCCCTTTCTGCTGAGCGGCCAGGTATCCGGCCAAGCCTGCAGTACCAATACAGTACACTCGATCAAGCGCCACGACCTCGAGCGAAGCAATTACTGTAGCATTTCTGCAAGGTTGCCTGCCGACACAGACATTGCCAGATTCGCTTCTTCGTTGGGGACCTCATCCGACGGCTACAGGATTCTCAGGTGGCTGACTTGCAAATTGGTCGGCGAGCACCATTAGATCAGGCCGTCAAGTCTCGTCACTGCAAGGCATTGATTGGTCAACGGATCGCTCAAGTTCTGGGTGCTGTGCTATGGACAAACGGCGGCTGATGGCTCCGAAACCTTGTTCCCAGCAAGTCGACATCTCATTCCACTACTAGTACGAACACCTCAGGCCTCAAAAGGCGTTGGCTTGAGCCAGCAGTGCCGGAAGGCAGCCGATTACCATGCTGCTGCGGTGCCCAGCCATTGCTTCTGATTTCGCAGCTTGAGGTATCTTGTACCGACTGAGAAAGCAGGATCCCTGCGATAAGGCTGCGGCACCCGATAGACGGAATTGGCCAAACCTGTACAGCTGTATGGCTTGCTTCGAGGATGTGATGTGGCTGCGGACGGTGTTGGTCGTGATGGGCTCGGCCGCTTTTCCAGTGCTTTCAGGAGTTGTCCTTTCGGCGCCTTCCCGATTGTCGGTTGTCGACAGGACTATGGAATAAGGGAATCAGGCTCAAGCTGCAGCGTCATCTGAGCTTCTCACGGGAACCAGGAACGGTGGAGTAAGAACAACGCCATACCTTGGCTCGTGGGTCACTGCAATCTCACTGCTCTGAAAGGCGCGGATGCGCGACTGCATCCCTCCTTTTTCAGATGGCAGATGCTTGCAGCTGCATGTGCATAACAGAGAAGTTACACAGAGGTGACGCAATGGACCGCGATGAGGCGAGAGACACTCTCATGACAGCGCCGGATTTCCTTATGGAGTTGACTGGGCGTATTTTGACGCGCCTTGGACGCCTTGGATGGATATGTTTCCTGCCATAAGGCTCCGGGCACTTCCGCGATCCACGACAAGCCTATGCATCAGTTGCGCACATACACGCAGATCTTAATACTCGTCACTGCGACTGCGAGATCGAGGGGCACTGTACAGGCCGCCCCTCGAACTCGAAACGGCCAATGAAACTGTTGCCTTGACTGCCACATCGTCAATTATGCAACTCCGCTGCTTTTTGGTTCAGCTGTATACTCTTGGTGCGGCGATGGCAGACGGCATTTTTTGGTAGTTTGTTGAATTATGCCCCCTTCAGGGGCAAATTGAAACCCATTCTCGAGTTAATGGGTAGCACGGTGACTCTCGTCTACCAGTGCCTTGCCTGCACTTGACATGAAGCTGACCTCAACGCCGCAAGGTCACTACAACGATAAATGCTCACGGATCAACTTCATGTTGTCGAAGTCCACAGCACATGAGGGGACTTTGAAGGGATTTAGGTTGCGATTTCGTGGCTAGCTATTAGCAATACTAGCAGAGGGACATCCAATCGACACAATAGGTTTTCATGGCAGGGATTCAGAACGCCCCCGAGTGCTTAATGCAATCAAAAAACCCGATTGCAAATCCCACTGTCCTCTTGACGATATCACCCTGGGCATACTTCGCCCGACCGTGCTGGCTCTTCGACGGCGGCAAACAAGCTTACTGCACGCTTGCTGCTTCAAGCGTGTAAGGCCTTGCTTGCAGAAAGTGAATGTGTCAGGTCGGTGGTTACACTTGAGATGCGCCTTCGTGGATGCCATCGCAGACATTGCGGGTCCGTAGGGTGCGTTGGTCTTAAAAGTGGCATTGTTGAACGGTTCGGTAGGCATCCACGGAGGCCCGGCCTTTCGGCCAGGAGTCACGGCGGTCACCTCGGCTGGAGCACGCGCGGCTTAACCAAACTGTCAGAGATCGATCTGCTACAATAGGTGCTGCAAGACGGAAGAAGGCAGGATATGACGCGGATGTCGCAGTATTTGTAGGCTGCCGTGTTTATTTGGCCAAGCCTCCCGGAATCAGACTTAGCTGAACATTCCAGGGTTTGCCGTGCGTGGTGTCTTGGACGAAATGCCTTCATCATAATCCTTGGCTCTCAGGCAACGCCGCGCGGCTCGGCTTCCCAGCTCAACGGGCAAATGAGGATGCGACTCACGATGTCGTTGCGCCCAGATTGAGATTGAAATCATCTGGCGTCATGAAGATCTGGGCCTGCAGCGAGTCTTGCTGTCACTCGCCCAGCAAGAGCAACTGCGCATCTCACTCTGCAATCCGGTACCTTGCCCTGCGACAGACTGGCAGTGTCGCTGTTTCGGGCGGTCAAGGTTTGGTGCAGCCTGGAGCAAGGCAGCATTCCGGCCCGCGTCAGTTCACACGGTTGACTCGTCAGCAGCTTCAATGTCCAGAAAAGCTACGAGTGCTCTCCAAATGGAATGCTTTCTTCACCCTTCGCGTTCCAAGCCCCGCGCTTGTAAAGTTCAACACGTTCGGTGACATTTGGCACGGACTCGTTCAACCCTGCGATGAACGCCATGGCGCTTTGCACCTTGAAAGGCAGTTTGCAACAACTTGGTGCGACGAGATCTGGTACGACATCCGATCCTGCCTAGGAGCAGAAACTACAAGAAGAAGCAAGCCTACACTTGAGCACTGCACTTCACGAACTTTTCGGATGCTGCTCGATTACTGAAGCTGCAGCCCTCCAGCTTGCCGTTCAGCAACTCGCCACATTCATGGACACCACTTCTTCGGCACGAGTTGCCGGAGCTAGAGATGGGTAAACACGAAGCATGGACGAGCAACTGCAAGCTGCGTGCAGCGCTTTCAGGTGCCCCCGGGCTTTCTCACTGGGATCCCCACCAACTTGGCGCCTGCAGACTGTCCCTGAAACTGCCTGGCAAGCTTCGTGTTGTCAGCCTGCGAGGATGGCTCCGTCTCACAGTGAACGCAAGAACCAGAAGGCTCCAAAAAGAAACTGCGAGCGATCATTTTGCTTGGCCAAACGAATGTAGAAGAAGGAACATGCTTTGCCTCTGCGCAGCCCTGCCACGCCTGCGTCTGAATCAATGCCGTGCGCTGCTGTTCAAGTCTGATGTCGGCGGCCAGTTTCGCAGCCTGAGAAATCTTGCTGCACCCATTAGTTGGCTCATGACAATGGGTTGGGCTGCCGGTTCTGCGCTGCATGGAAGGAGCTTCAACGTTCAACCCTAGTCCCGGCGAAGGATGCCCTTGTTTCAAAGGCCCTTTTGCTGCCTCATGTTCCCGCATGAAATTTGGCTGGCTCCTGCTGAAGCAGCATCCGACCATCCGTCCAATGTCTCGTGATTTGCCGGTTGATGCATGAGTCCGGAAAGGGCCTGTAACCGTACTGTAGTTGTGCGTAGCGTAGTTGGATCCAGCGAATCTTCGTAGAGTGGCGAGAATCTCACTGGAGCTGGACTGTTATCGTCAGGATCAGCAAAGTCTTTCGCGTTAGCACTACTGCTACAACCGCCTTAACGGCCATGGATGCCGAGAGTACAAGTCGTACTGGTACGAGCCGCATTAACTTCTTCCATGTAACAGACAGCCACTGGGGCCGAAGCGTTCACTGCGTTCTGGCTCTCCTGCTTCTGGAGTTCGTTGATGCCTCGGAGCTTCAGACTTGCAACTCCGCTGTGCAGCTCCGGCATGGTGAGGCTGGTGCATATATGTAGATGCTATCAAGCATGTTTTCTCACCGGCGAAAGTTCACCGAATCTGCCCAGCCCCGCACGAAGGGTAGTCTCCTTAATGATCTCTTGCAGGACCGCCGCCGTGGCGTTATCCACCGAATCCTGAAACTCACACTTCAGGCAAAGGCTTCGGCCAAGGACATATTGAAACAAGTCCGCATGCATCATTTGTTTACATCATCTGTACAGGTGTTCAGTACTGTGGCTGCAAAGTATTCCTGGTATGTAGTATACGATACATGAGAAAGTTGCAAACTTCTACACATGAAAATTTGGTACCTGCCTGGTCTTGAGCTTCAGAACTACCCAGCTCGTTTGTGTTTCCTGTGCTGGAGCTAACCGAGCTCTACCAGGGTCGTCAACAGTTTCATGCGCCTCTGTCGGAAAACTGGACAGACAGCAAGCCCTCCATCCAAACTCCAGCGAAGAAGAGAAACACGTGCATGTGATAGAAGAGTTAGCTAAAGCCAATCTTGAAGAAGCTCATCTTGCTTTGGAGCTGAGGCGCAAAGCGCGTGATCTCCAAGCTCTGTACTTCAACTCCACGGTCTGAATAGAAGACGTCGGCAACCTGAACGAAGATTCGGATTCCGAGGTTCCTGAACTGTAAGCGGACGTCTGTATATAAACTGAACAGTGTACATATTCCTCGGCCTACACATGCGTACTGTAAAATTTCATGTGTGCACCGATAAGGACTGTAATTGTGCATGTGCAGATGCACAGGTAACTGATGAAACTGGATAGCAGTTGAGGTCATTGTGATAAGTGATAGGCTTCATGTACACATCAGAAGCAGTCATACCCCGTGCTGACATGCCAGAGGCCAGAGGCCCTCCGTCCAGCCTGGCGGTCGAACGTGGCCTGCGTCAAGTTGTTGAAGCCGTTCATAAACTCGGCCAATGTAAGCCTGGCAGGCGAGCTGACACCTGACTTCTGGCATGGTGTACTTTAACTCAAGACCGCATGTGCCTGCCAACTTCTTGGATCATTCCAGATCGTGCCTCCAGGGCAAACACTGACTCCAGCAAGCTATCTCTCCTGTACCTCAACCTTCAAGTACAAAGAGTCGGCCACACACACACACAGGGCTGCACCATTTTGTAACTATTCAGTACCATTTCATGCACGGGTGTTCTACCAGCAATGCACTTCTTTACCTGGCTCATCAGGCTGCTTGCTAGAACGCTCTTAGAGGCACAGGTCACCCGCTGAGAGATGTCGCCAGGAGCATCCGAAGTCATAGACACCATCTTCATGACATCGGTCACCTTGCACAAGGGGGAACATTCGAAGCTGGCAGGCGTTGACTAATCGAGCGTTGCTATCTGCCAGTTTGGGGCGTGCAGTAGACAGCCGCATGATGTCATCACAGTGTCCCTGCAGAACTGGCCTGCCAGAAGATAGTCCCCTCCAGCTTCAGCTTCACGTTGTCGCTTGTGCGGACCTGCAGAATCTGCATATTGGCTAACACTCTGCAACTTGCCGTGTGAAGTCACAGGTCGGACCCATGATTTCCAGCACATCGAGGCTACTTTCTTGCCGTAGGAAATCTGCATTTGCCGCGGGTTGCATGGGCCAAGCCGGGCAGATGCCTCATTCTGAAAGAACATCTTCTGCGCACGCAGATCGATCATAGTGATGCTAACCTTGGGCACCGGGTCCTCCAGCACCTAAGATGCCAGGCCCCGTGGAACCTCGCCAAACACTAGTGTTCGAACGGACTCAACTGGTGCAATGCTCTGGCACCGGAGAGGAGTAGGCAGACCAGCTGAACTGCATCAACGAGGTATAGGGTGGCAAAAAGAAGGCAGTCGCACCACCGGCGCCGGTCTTCAAAGTCACTGCACCATAAATGTCGCGCGTCACGCAGGCCTGCAGTCACAACCAGCACCAAATGCAGACCTGGAGTGCTCTCACGGTGTCAACCCTACCGGTCCTACCGAGATCCCTAAAACGCTTGCCAAAGCAGTTCTGCGTTCAACGATACCCTTCGGCCCCTTCGTTTATCATATCAGGAGCAAGACCAGGAGCTTGGATTTCAAGATCAAGTTCTCTCTTACTCGATGGCGGCAGCCTATGACTGCAGCTCCGCAGTTTGCATCCTGCCCCTTCCCATGACCGGTTCACCGTGTCCTGGTGAGGCAAGACCAAAATCTTGCGTTGCGTCTCCAGGATGCGCTCGTAGGGAAGTGGGATGAAAACACCCTGCGTCGTGTCTAGTCGCTGTTGGCCACTCTGCCTGCCAGGATGGCTCCGGCGCGACAGAGTGGGTGCTACGCTCTCACAGAATGCCGCGGCCTGTTGAGCACCTTCACCGCTGTCTGGCTGTCTACATACACAGCCTTTTGCTTACCCTCGGGCGCGGTCTCCACAGGCATTGGCACCACAACCTCAGTGAAGCCAGAACCGAGCAGGCCAGGCAGGCAATGCATGTGTTGCTAGCCTTCGGCATCCTTCCGCTTTTGCCTTTAGTTTTACGGGCTTGGGCTACTTGCACCTCTGTTCCCTTTTGTCCGGTCGGGCTGCAGCAGGTCCACGCTCCACGCGCTCTTCACCGGTCTGGCCGTTCACCAGGCGAAGGTAAGAGTCCTGCGGTTTGCTTATTTGCTCTTGCTCGCATCCGGGCGCCACCTTAGAATTTGCAAAGTGCCTTCTCCAGCACCCACTTCTGAGAAACGTTGAGCATCTCTTCGTAGGGTCCAACTTGAAGAAGCTGGGGACCAAGTTCGTTGCGTGTCTGACCTGCACGGCTGTGCCAGCTCATGCTCTGGGTGTGACTCTGAGTTTGCGTCGACATACTTATGCCGAACAGGGAAGGAGGAAGCTGAGGAAGCATGGTGCGCTTATCTACGAGTGGAGCGATTGCCCACTAGCATGCAAGACACAAATCTCGGAAAGCGCGAGACATGGCCTGTCAAGTGGTCTTTCACCACGGCATACATCAGAGGCTCAAGCAACACAGCGCTCTTTTCCTCCTGGATTCTGTCCTCAGGCCATGCTTACAAGCGAGAAAGGCATTTCATTATGTCGCGCAGCTAGAGAGGATGTAAATGCAGAAAACTGCAGAGTAGAAGGTCTGCATCAGTGTTGACAGACTTCAACTGCAGCTGCGGCTCATAAGGTTCAGGGACGAACATGCCCTTTGCTGTGACCAACCTCTTCATGCCAGAAGTCTTGTTCCTCAGCGACAGCAATCGGCTCGCTGCTAGCAGCTAGCAATTCAAGGACTCAACACACGACTTAAGAAGCTTGGGGCCTTGTGGCTTGGTTATCAGTTTTCCACCTGCCGCACTTTGAACCGCACATCATGAGCTGTCCATGCGCAAACAGCGGCGAGAGTCTCAACAAGAACAGCATTGGTCTGGCCGATCACAATGCTTGTCTCCACACCAGAAGGCCACTCCTGCCAAGCGTGGCATGATCCCTTGTTTGCTCTGTGGGCCTGAACAAAGACGTCGGCCTCCGAAAGCCAAAGACACATACTGTACCTTAACGAACCTCTGAAGCCTGAAGCAACACATCATACTGACGAGCTACCAGCTCCAGGAAATCAACGCCTACGAGAGACAAGGTTGCAAAATTCAGAGCAATCACACGGATCATCTTGAACGCAGCAAACACTATGAATGCGAATGCTGAGCATTGTGGATTAAGCTGGAATGTCCAGGACTTTCTAAGCTGGTTCCGTTTTCATGTGGCATGCGTCTTAGCTTTTAGCCATGCTGAAGTCGCGTTTGTCTTACCTACACCCCACCTCTCTTGGCTCTGGCACCAAGATTTGCGGGCCGCCCTCCTTAGCAGCCACGACGATAAAAAGGCAGTTGCTCAGCTGCTTTGCTACTGCCTTGGGAGGAAGCTCGGCGAACCGCCAAAGCACTTCAGCGGATGTGTCTCCAATGCTTACCACTCTGTAACTCCTTTCCTCACCGAACTACGAATGTACACCCAACATAAATTTGTACATGGAGGCGAGTGCTTCATCTGTTCCCCCAGAACTCCAAACAGACTAAGCTGGCCGACGAGCTGCCACACGCTCGAGACCTGTGAGCCTGTCGATGAGTCGGACATACTCCATCTTCTGCAGCACAATCTTCTCCTGCCAAGACACTGCCCAGGGCATGTTGGGAAACCTATCCGCAGCGCTTGCCCATCGTCGTTCGAACCAAATCCCTTGAACCGTGTCAGAGGTGATATCTGATACCTGTCAGAAAACTGCGGGCCATGTAAGATTACCCAAGGAGTGTGTAAAACAAAGAGTAACAAACCCCACACGAGTCTCGTTCAAACTCCGTATTCCGCAACATGCCCGAAAGGACGACTGAAACGGAGTCCTTGATCTCAACTAGGCTCTCCCAGGCATCCATGAACACCTTCATCAACGCAGGTGAAGGAGCGTGTGCGCCGGACCGCAGGAAGCACGTCTCCCAGGCAAAAACATCCTGGACTTCCGGCCTGCCCTGGCCCAGGCTCATGTCGCAAGAGCCTTGGCTCGGGCAAAATCAAAAACAAAGGGACTACCAAGCTGGAGAGCTTGGGTGTGCTATGGTGTGCTGATAAGATCACAAACGCACACACACGCACACACACACACACACACTGCAGCCGTCACACAAGCACTTCTGGATTGAGTGGTGACTTATAGCTTGGAAATTTGGCGCTTGCATTCGTCACAGGATGGCTGACTGCTGTCCGAGCTCGGATGCTTGGACATGTTCTAGCTTGCCCTTTCAGCCTGGTTGCTGCGTCCTCTCGTGCTTCAGGACTGCATACTGACGAGCAGTCACCATAATCGCATCGCGGATCTCGTGCCTCACCAGATCGACGCACGTGTCATCTTATGGCATCGCAGAGATGCCACCAACGGTGCTGGCAAAGCTGGAAGCAATGAGAACAAAAGCTTCCTCAACAAAGTTTGTAAGAGCAAAGGAGGCGCACTTGTGCTTTCTACTCGTCAGGTCTTGCAGGATTTGCTGCCCTGGCCTGGTCGAAGGCCAGATGATCTTCGTGAAAGGACCCTGCTCTGTCGTGCGCCCGGTGTTGCTGATGTACACCACCTGCTGCCTGTCGTTCACGTACTTTACCTTGGCAGAGGAAGTGCAGATGCAGTTGAACTCCTATGGCCACGTTGACATCGAACCGAAACGGCAAGTGCTCAAAATGCGATGTTCCTTGCCAAGACATGTGCGATTCCAAGGGGTCTTCCTTCTAACATTACAAGCAAGCCCAGGTGCGCTGGTCCCCAGGACAATGAAGAAGATTAGCCAGCCCAGGCAGCAACCCCCACCTGTGCTGTCAGAGTCCCTGACCGGCAATGCAGAACGAAGAATGAATCACACAGCCAGAAGGGCTAAGTCTCAGGCCACAGACTTTGATCGCACACTTCTTCTCATCGCTCAGCGAATCCATTGTCCTCCACAGCTGTTGTGACACTCCTATGAAGCAAATCTGACGAGGGACAGAACATCCCGCTGTCCTTGGAGACACTCGCGCAGGAAGTGTCTCTCTCAGCTTGATTCAGCGGCTCCGGGGGTCAGTGCACCATGCAAGCACCAACCCTCACGTCTCGTTCAGCAGATGCACTGGTGCAGGTGAGTCAGCTCAGACTACGATCGTGCACGGCTCTTTTGCTGAGAATGCCGGAAGAGAGCGTAATCGAGTCGCCAGGCCTGTACCGATCAAAAAGACACAGCTGAATCACTCTACTGAAACAGGTCGGCCAGCCTCTTGAGGATGAGAAGTTGCCCCGCCACTCGCAACATGATTAGGATCCATGACTAGATTAACTAAATAACTATACTCATTGATGACTGATGTGAAGAATTTTTTTCCCCTCCAGTGACAAGAACGGCTGCCCGATGCTGCCCGCCGGCGCACCGGCTTACTGCTTGCAGTGCACAGTGCTTCGATCAGGCAGAACGTCCAGGTGGCAGGAGCCACGTGCACGATGCTCCATCCAGTCCTCCATGGCACAATCGGTTTGGCTTTCTCGGACAGATTCGATTGTTTAGAGGCTCCTCCCTCGTTTTCCACCTCTCGATCTCTATGCTGCTTTTCGAGATGTTTCCCGGCACAACAGGGTGCCGAGCGCATGAGCTCCTACCGCTGTCAAACGACCAGTGCTTAAACCTCTCCGTTCAGACATCAACATCTCGCTCTCTCCGCTCATTCCGCCCTTCCCCGAAAGCTAAAGTCAGCCAGAGGCTCATGAAGGCAGTCTGGCCTCTCCCGATGCTGCGTCAAACGAAATGAAGCCATCGTAGGCAACAGTTTATGTTGAATCTGCGGTCATGTGTACTTTGTGGGCGATGAAAGTCTATCTCAGCTTCATTGATGACTGCAGTCGTATCTCTGGCGCTGTCCTCCAGCTGGGACTCAGGGCAAGCGCACTGGGCTCGGTAGTACTGATACTTGCACCTGCCATCAGGAAGACACTCGCGACTTGACCAAACGTAAGAGGAGACACGGCCCACCTCGTGTCCTCTTCCCCCAGCTCGCGTGCACAGCGCGCGAAGACAGTGAAGCGCAGAATGCAGTTGTTGGACTGGTTGGTCAGCGAGATGAACCTTGGATCATCCATGTGAGGATGGGCGGCGTTGACGGCATCCAGATTCGCCGCGTGGAAGACCCGCTCCTTGGCGTTCGACATGGCGCCAAGGCTCACTATCGGCGGGTGTTGCCAAGTTGCCACGTCACAAGGCTGTGAGCCAAGAATGCAAGGGACACAATTTCACGGCTGGTGTTCGTGGCCCCCGGCGGCGCTAGCAGTATGCTACTCTCAGAAGCCAGCTTGGCAGCTGCCACTCTCCTGGCTGCCTGGTGGCAAGGAACGAAGTCGCGGAAGTTCAGTGTTTTGGCAATGTACAAGCCGAAACCAAACTCAAGTCGATTTTGCAAAAAGGGAGTCTGCCAGACCTCACCTCGTTGTAGTACAGTAAGTACCAACATCATAGAAGTAGCATACAAGGCATTGAAGGATGCGTGAGAAACGCCGAAAGCTCCCCTGCTGCAGGAAGTGGCACCCTTGTCCGCGCCTCCATGGCTGCGACTACGGCCAAAATGCATGCAGCCTGCAAGCAAGTTGTTGCAACCACAGGCGAGAGATGCTGAGCATCTTCTTCCGCAAACACACTTGTCTCGAGCGGTGCAACTGCCTCAGGCCCGGGCTGATGGTGCAGTTTGCATGGCAAGGGCCGGCAGCTCGCTTATGCTCACAACCTGGCGACTCGCATCACTTGAATCTCCACCATACAGACTACACCACATATCTGCTTATGCATGCAGAAAGATGGCGCTTTCCTCCTGGCTAAACCAATTCAGTATAAGCCGCACACAGCGAGCTGCTCCGAAGTCAGCGCCGATACCTCGATTTCAGTCGACTTCAGTCAAACGCACGAAGCATGCCTCTAAGTAGATCAGGGCGGTCATCTTCGAAAACTGGCTCGCAGTAGCAACTCAACGCAAATGGCATTGACGAAGCATTGCAACCAAACATAGCTTTCGAGCAGGCTAGTACAAGTCCAAGTGCCTAAGATTGCCGGAGCCTAGTCGGCACTCAGGCGACAGCTGTAAATGCCTCGAAGTTCACCGACACCACTGAGGCCTGCGGCTGCTTGCGACGGCCGAATGATTTCAACTCTGAATGCACAGGTAGGTCAGTGGACACTTAGTTCGACATTTCGGGAACTAAGGCACCAACAACCAACGCGAAGCCACACAGGATCCACTGCCACCTTCGGATTCAATGCTTTTTCTCATGGACGTACGGCTGGCAAGCGCAAGCCGTGGTACATTCGCAAAACATCAATTGTGACAATGCTGGAGCATGCAAGCAGATAAACTGGGATTGGTTCTCAGGTGCCAGCCACAAGAAGTCACCGCTGGGCATGTCATCCCGTAGCATGACGAGCAACGCACTCCTGAAAACATCCGTGCCCAGCAGCACTCAGGAGAACAGTGCCATCATGGATTTCCAGACAAGCGTTCGGAAGCTACACTGTCTCACTCAATTTGTCGTCTTGGCTCCGCACTGTCGGGGATTCATGGTCGGCTGCAAGAAGAGCCTTAGATACAAGAAGAGTTGGTCGTCACACGTGCGCCATGCTGCCCTGAACGCCGCATGTGCCAGTGAGAGCACCCCATGGACAAGCGTCTGACATCACAACACGACAGCACTTGGGTGACAACTACAAGAGCGAGAGACTCATGCACGGCATGCTTATATATCTGGCCGCGCAGCTCAGCTGAGCTTGACAAGGCTGCCTGAGGTGCAAGTCCACAAAATGTCCACTTTGTCTATCTTTCTTTCATCTTTCTCTTTGAAGGCGGGAAATCCCTCCTGTCCCTCTCTCCCAGTCTCCTTCTTGTTCACCTGCTTGCACACTTCTGCTATCACTCGCAAGCAGTCGGGCCCTTGCAGGACTGCGCCTACCTGCTTGTTTGCACAGCCTCTTTTTTTTTCGTGGGCAATTACATCGCTCTAGCGAAAATGAACGTTGACTGAAGACCTGCACAGCCGCTGATGTCAGACATGTATGGATGCGGCAGGCATTCATGCATGCGTAGAATTCGAGAAACAAATCTCTCTCCGGGCCCACAGAGTCTATATATGAGTAACGAAAGATAAGCCTACGTATAGTATGTGTCTTTTTTCTCTGAATCTAGACTGGTGTGGGACACAATGCAATCATATTTGTGCTACTGGTGTATCTTTTTTGAGCAGGGACTGCAATGCAAAAAAGCCCTGTATCTGCTGTTTGTATTCGTGCAGGTGTGAGCCAGCAGCTCAGCATCAGAGCGTATCAAAGCCATGCTGGCTTGTGTGGGACAAAACAAGGTCTGTCTGTCTGTCTCTCTCTCTCTCTCTCTCTCTCTCGTCTTTCGCTCTCATGTCCCATTCGGGTCCAAAATGCAGAGACCGCTCCTAAGCACGCGATCGTGGTCGCTAGCGGCACGCCGTTAGGGTAGCTGGTTAAGTGGGGATTCTCAGGACATCCAACAGACATCGACAGACCCACTGGGATTGGACACAGCCAGCCGCATTTCAAACAAGCGGCCAGTCGCTTTCTCATTGCAGCCAATGCCGCCGAAGGCGTGGCATCTGGAGCCACCTGCCGCACTGACCCGAAAAAGGTTCGGCCTGAAGGCTGTGCACTACCATCATACTCCGTGCACCACGGAGTATACTCTCTGGAAGTCAGTATGCAAGACAACATAAGGCTTCAGGTGCTTAATCGGTCCAGCCATTGCCAAGACATGCCAAGGCCAAAGACTCAACAAGGCCTGGAACTGAGCAAGGCTCTCTTAAATTGCGCGCTAGAGTCGGAAGCCCATGCTTTTGAACGAACCCTTTCGTGCGGCCCACGCCGCTCTGGCATACTGAATCAACCAAACGGTTTCGACCGCTGCGAGCAGATGCTAGCACGTGAACGCTTCAGTCTTAGCTTCGTTGAGCGCGGTCAGCTTCACCGTGCCTGCCCGGTCAAGATGTACACACCTGTTAGCTTAGATGCTCTGCCGAAATGAGGGACCAATAATTTCGCCTCTCCTCAAGCGGCATAATCGGCATGCTAGCATTTAACTATACACATCGACTGCACACCATCCTACATCTGGCCCAATCATTCTTGCAGCACACGTCTCGGTTGCTGCGACGGCCCTGCCGACTGTTCCACGATACGATGCTCTAGGGACAGGGCGGTCGAAAATAACCTGGGACTGGACGCTGAAAAAGTCAGCACCCAAAGTGCGTCGCACCTGCGTTGATCTGAGTCAGCAGTTCTATGCTGAGCAGGCTTCGTTGCATTTTCCACCTAAGTTGCTACAATTCGACAAAGGGGTCGTGAGCTCAAAATTCGCGCGTTGTATACATGATGGAAGGCCAACCTTTGAGGACGGTGACAAGACCCTACTATAACCCTAACATGAACCAACCCGGAATGTCGAGGATGCGGAAGACCAGAACACCCCCTTCGCACGGCCACCTCGGGACGCTTGCCACAGATTTGCCACGGGTCAGGTTTTAGATTTTAGGCTGTAGCATATCCCAAGCATGAAAGGATTGCTTTGAGGCCGCAGTAATGCGACCCTCCCGCCCCTGCGCGCTGATAGAATTTTGGCAATCATGCCCGGTAGAGTCCCGGTAGTCTCGCTTCCAGAGTAGCCTAATGCTGGATTCTGTCGGTGTGGCTGGGCCTGAGGGTCAAGTGAGGCAAGTCAGAGGCTCCAGGGGAGAGACCCTCAATACCCCGGCTTGCAAGGCCCCTGGCGAGGGGCTTTTCTGCTGCCAACAAAAAGCCTGTCGCCGAACCGGAGGCCGGTGGCGTCTAACATTACCCTCCTCCCGAAAGGGTATTGCGGGCTTTTGTTGTCGGCTTGTTTTTTGAGGTTTGTGCTTGACCAGGTACAAGAGGGTCTCTGAATGCGGGTTCTGGCTTTGGGAGGCCCCTCCCCCAAACCCCCCTGCCCCTCTTCCTTGTTTGAAATGGAGCCAGCGAAGCAAGCGCTAGCGGGTGAGGTTTGATTGAGGATGATCGAAGTGCTTAGGACAACCTCGCTACTTCAAGCATTTTGCGGCGAGCTCGGGTGACCTGCTAACCAGATACCAGATTTCTGACAAGCTCATTTCGGGCGCAGACTGGGTGCCCAAAAGTGCAGTGCTGGCTTGGTTAATGTTCTCCTCCCACGGGGCACTGCTGCACTGCTACGCATGGCTTCCATACTCAAAACAGGACTGCACAGCATCCACGGAGGTCTGGGCTCTCTTCATCCACAGGAGGTGCCATGGCAGGGCCTTCTCCACGGAAGGTAGTGCGGCGCCATCCCCACTCCTTGACACTTCCAGGAGCCAATTGCTAGAGCCGATTCCGACTGCTGCCCGTAGGGTGCACGCTGGCCCAACCCCAGAACAGGCCTTGGAGCAAGCAATGACTTGGAGTCCATGCTGGAGCAGAACAAGCGAGGCAGAGGCATGGCAATGAAGCGGAGGACGGTTTCATCCTCGATGATCTTCTCCGCTACACCCTCAAATTGCAGAGGGATCATGGTGTCTTAGAGGCCATCACAGACTTTACTGCTCTTTGCGTGTCACCAAGAGGTCCGTCTGGGTGGGCCTGGCCTCCAAGTTCTTGACTTCTTCGGGCTCCTGTCACATCTCTACGCTATGGCACGAGGGCATACGAGGGCCACCAGATTTCCTTGAGTTCATCAAACCATGCCTTGACTCGCGCGGGCGCGGTCGTCAGGTCCGTAGATGATCCATCCTTACCTGATGCAATCAAGACCAAAGCAAGCATAATGCCAGGAAAGAGTCACCCTTCGTGCGCACCAAAAATAAAAATCCTGCAGTAGGCATGCAAGAGGAAGAGCGGAATCAAGAATACGTAATGTCACGTGGAAGCTGCACAAATGTAACTTTTCACGTATTTGCCACATCATTGCTAAATACTAGAAAGATAAAAACATGTTTGCTTGACTCAGATGTGCGATGGTTTCGCTCAAGTTCACAAGGACTCGACTACTGACCTCATTTCCATGTTGGAGACACGGCCCCTGAAACCGAGACATCTGGCCTGCAATAGCAGCTGTTGCAGAAAACCCTCTGACACAAAAGCGGTATGACAACAAGGGAAGGGAAGCCCATTCGCGGGAATAACATCACAGCTTAAGCTCAGGAAATTGAGCTCGGAGCCTCGGTTGGTTGAGTCTGTGCTTCGCATTACCACACAGACGAGAGTGATCCAATGCATGGTCGTTGTTGCAACAACCCTTGGCTTCATGCGGAGGGACGCTTCGCTTTCACACTCGCTGCATGCCTTGGCCAGTCGCCGGAAATTCCTCGGGGTCCTTGGGCTCTCTCAGACTCATGGAGATCTCGACGCTTGAGGCTACTCGGCCAACCGTTTGCTTCAGCTTCCTTTGCTTTTGGACCGTCCTAACTCACCCTCACCCTGCCGAGCAAGTCATAAACAGAAAGTGCTTGGACTGCTGCGGATGCGAGACAAGGCATAGCCCGGGCCTGAACACGGCGAGCACTCCGACAAGGTTCATGACCCACGGCGTTGGTTCGACTCGCGCACTCCCAGTGAGCATGCGCGGCGTTGATTCAGGGTTTATAGGAATAGGACTGCAACTTGTTGAGGATTCAAGGCTTACGAATGTTTAGGATGTTTGGGGCTCGAAAGCGAGTGAAAGCGAAGGCTGCAAAGAAACGGCTGCTTTTTCCGCGTGCTCCCTGTGCTCTGGTCCACCGTACCTGGTCCGCAGCAGCTCGGCAACCTGTGCATGATTTGGACTAGCATCGGCGAAGCCCTCAGGCACTTGGCCTGCTGCCAGCTGCCGCTCATTTTCCCATGGGCTCCAACAGAATCGACCTCGACGAAAACATCGACCCCAACAATCAGGACAATCCTTGCCGGTTGGCCACCGCAAGTCCGGAACGGAGCTGGCGTTGCACTCCAGAGCAGCGCGTGCTGATGCTGCACCATGTACTCTCCAAATTGCCAAGGACAGCGCATCCTTAACGTCATCCGACTCGTCAACATAACCCAGCCAGGACGCCGGGCTGTTCGAGGGGATCCAAGCCTTCGTCGTCTGGGAAAGCACCGATGAAGGCATGGAGAAAAGGTTTGCGACAGCCTGCGAAACAAGATTTGTGGCGGTTTCGTGTAAGGAAGCGCGGAGGCGCGGGGACTGGCGAGGGGTATCTGACGTGCAACTTCAAGTTCCCGGCCTTGAGAGTACCCTCGACAGACATGTGGTTGGTCGAAGCTTCTGAAGTCTTCCAAACAGCGAGGCTGTGAAGGAGTGCCCAGGCGCGGCAAGCAGGACCATGACAGCTTCGGGAGGTTCCGGCCTGGAGACGGAGAAGATCACTGGCTGCAAGCAGCTGCTTTCTCAAGGGATCTGCTGCCATCTCCCACTCTTTCCGGCAGAGGGCAGAGCTGGCTGCTGCTGCTGATCCCAAGTGCAACGCAGTTCTTAAATACCTGACCAGACCGTGGAGCTCCGGGACCACATGGTCCACCCAGCTCATGTCCCCAGAGGGAGGCAGCCGATCTTCAAACAGAGACAACCAGGAATGCAATGCAGAGAGCTGACGTAACGTCAGAACGACCCCCGGAATCTCCAGAGTCTCTGCAAGGCCTTGCATTGCATCGGCCGTCACTGCTGCAACTGATGCAACTGATGGCATTTGGGGCCGGTCTCTGCCAACGCCCGTGATCCCAGAGTCGCCGGTTGGTCTCGCCACACCTGAGACTCTTGACGCAGTATCGCCCCGATCAGGTTTCATAACGCGACAAAGCCTTCAACGCTCCACAACTCAGCCTGCGACATAAAGATGCCTCACCGGCAATCGCCGGCTGTTGCCTGCGGCTCCCCGGAGGCCGGAAACTTTGTGGTAGTAAGGCAAAAAGGGCAGACCTTGCAGCTCGTTCACTGAGAGAGGCCGGGGCCGCAATTGCAAAGGCACTGTTGAGCGGCTGGGGATGGTTTCAAGAAAGCATGGGCAGTCGAATGCAGCTTCGGCACAACTCCACAGCAAAACTCCATCCTGAGCGGGGGCACAGGAAAAGAGGTGTCAGATCATCGCTGGTGCACCGTTGGAGTGGACTGAGCCTAGTTTCGCTCTGGTCGCCACTCTGCTGCCGGCCGCTTCTGCAGGAAGTCTGCGAGGGCTGAGGTCACATTCAAGGTTTCCCCTCGCAGGGCCAGGCGCACGGAGTCAGCCAAAGCTTGCCTTGCTTCCCCCTTGTGCGCCTCCATAGATAAGGCCGACCATGGGATGACCAATGAGGCCCAAGTCCACACAGAACTTCTGGTTGAAGTGGCAGTTCAATGCACCGAAGTGGATTGGGCTGTTGTCGGGTAATTCCTCGGCCATGGCTTCCAGGTATGCCATGTAGTCCGGGCAGCGTAGGCACCAGGGAGTGAAGGAAGATACGATCCAAAGCTCATCCGATGTCGAAACTTCGTCGAACATCTCTGGGTCAAGGTTGACTATCCGGCTGCTGGCCTGAAGTGCTACCGTACTCGTCTACACGAGATTTTCGACTGTCGCTGTACTGGGCATCTGGGCCACCGGCTTTGCACAGGCTTTGCGGCTCTTCCTCGCAGGCTGCAAGAGCTACACGCTCGCTGCGTGATCTCAGTCCCGAGTCTTTGTCCTTGGGGTCGACTCATGCAGGAAGGTGCGGTAATGGCAAATACAACGCACAGACTGCATCCAATCTCAATGACAGCTTGCCAGACAGCCCGCAAGGCAATCGAGTCTCGGTACCATCCGCTTTGCAGCGCTGAGCGCCGGATGTGGCAGACAGCGAATCCACCTCGTCCAGCTCCACGAACTCAAAGAAGCGAGGGCCGCCCTTCCTCGTTTCTTGACCGAGTTGGCATGAGTATGACGCAGTATTAAGTGCCACAAGATAGGTCTGCCAGTTCTACTGGCGAGCTTTACAATCAACCTGCATACATGGCGCGCTTCAGCGCTCAGGGTCACCCATCCGGTCTCCAGGCTCGCAGCATCCTCTGGTTTAGCATTCCTGCCCATGCAGTAGCCACTTCTCGCCATGAAAATGACACGCAGTAAATCATGCAATGCAACACCGGTCGATGGGGCGCCTCGGCTCGAAAACCTGAAGACGTAGCACGCCCTCTGGCAACAGGGAACAGTTGGTGCCCGTCACCTCGGAGTTACGAGCTCCGCAGATGAGAAAGCCGCCCCTGACACGCCCGGGAAGTCGAGCCTTGGCCCTCCAAGCACCGAGTGGGAAAAACAGCCTCTTATGAGCTGTTCCCTTCTGAGTACGTTCGACGTTGCTGGAGCCGCTGATGGTGATGGCTGATGGTGATGCGGATGATGAAGATGATTATTATTATGATGATGACTATATGGCTGTGATGATTGCTGGACCTTTTACAACTGGGCTCTCACTTTGCTGCTGGACTCCCTTAAATTCCGTGTCTATTCCACAGTCAAAGCGGTTTTGAAATAATGTCATCGTTGTTCTGGGGCAGCTGGGCCAAAGCACATTCAACCAGAGGACTCCTGTCTAGATACTGTCCAGCCGTATCCCGCGGGTTGGTTAGGTATCGCTGCAATCAGCCGAGCTGCAGCTGGCAGTGCTCTGATTCAACTGAGTTTAACTAAGCTCTCCATCTGCGCTGTCATTGTCACACGATTCATGGCTCACGACGCTCTCCTGGCCAACATCCCGGTACGAGCTGCTCGCCGGCAATAGCGACTAGTCAGATGCAGTGTCATACCCCCCGGCACCACTGATTTGATTGCTTCCGAGCACCTGCCCCACAAGTGTTCCCTTGGGGAAATCGAAAGCGATTTCGGCAGTCAACTCCTTGGCCGGTGTGCACCCGCTAGCATATGGGAGCCGCGTCAGGAGTCATGGCTGCAGCAGAAGAGTCTGGCAGCTGCAACATCCGATCACGATGAACATTCGTTGTTTGGAAATGAGCATGTTCCTCCCGTCTGGCTACATTCCCCCAAGTCTTCCAGCCTGGGCATGTACTCACGTTTCTGGAACTTCGGCCAGCATCCTCTCGTAGTTAACCCCTTCATGCAGCCCACATGGACAGGACGCTTGAGAGAACACTGCTAGACTGCTAGAAACTCCGCGCCCGTACATGTTCCAAGAGTCTGGTCCGCGGCGTGCCTTCACTTTGGCGATCCGAGGATTCACCGAAGCACGCCAGAATCGCGGTTCCGGAATCGGGTCTGCAGAGCCGATGGAGCTGCTAGGGGGCTTTTTTGCTTGAAAATCTCAGACTGTTACTTCCTAGAACCACGTGTAGTCTGCTGATGGTACACCATTGACCGCCGGAATCACATTTGTGAATTCTGGATGCGGGTTGCTTACAGATGTGGAGGCTAAACATGGCTACACACACACACACTGTGCAGGCCTCGACAGATTTCGAACCTTGGCTTTCCGGCTAACCCATGAGGACGGGCTCGAAGTATGAGAGTGTTTAACGGCGGGCGCCGATGTGGCCCCATCGAGACTTCGTGAGTCAGACAGCTTTAAGGATAAACTCTGCCGAGCCACAGATCGGACCTTTGATCGTTCAGAATGCCGGCTGCCCCGGCGTGCACCCACGACAGCGCTGTTGTCGCGACCATGGCGACAGCCATCTTGATTGAAGGACGATGCAATGGAGTCTGTCTTGAAGCCGTCTTGGGCCAGTGCTTTTGTGAACTCTTCTGTGTGACTGTGATGCACTGTGCTTTTGGTCTTTGCAAATGTGAGCCAGGCTCGCAGGTGTTGAACACATGTTTTCGAGTGCTGCTGCAGAATCGGCCCGACAGCACAGTGCCTTGCCTCTTCTAAGAGTTCCTCCAAGGAGACGGACACCTGCTTCGCTGCCTGTAAAAGCTATCGCGACGGCTATCACGCAAGGACTAGTTGCCGAACGAGAACCTCATCAGCAAAGCAGCATTTTACCACAGCCGCGGAAAAGCAAGCCTTGTGTTGCTTTCGGTGGAATGTGATGGCTGCACGTCGCACTTTGGACCTGTGGCCTAAATTGTTTTAGATGCATCTCGTAATTGGACATAGCACTGCAAGCCAGAGGACATGCCAAGGGTTGCCGCGGAGTCTGGCCGGATGTTCTCCGGTGGCACAGCCAAGCGCAGGCTGGCATGCTTCAGAAGTGACGCAATCATGGTTTTCATCTCGACAATCGCCAGGCGCTTGCCGAGGCACTCACGCGGCCCGGCATGGAACACTGGATTTTCGTACGGGGTTTTCGAGTCTTCACTGAGCCAACGCTCTGGCCGAAAGGCAGCTGCATCCGAGCCCCAGATCGCCCGGGACCGGCCCATTGCGTAGGAATTGTAGACCAGAAGTGTCCCTCGTGGAACAAATGTGCCATCGGGCAGTGTGTCCGATTGGAGTGTGGTCTTGGAGTCGAGAGGCACGGAAGGATAAAGGCGCAGGGACTCCTTCAAGACTGCCTCAAGGTATTTCAAGCCACGGAGGTGATCGTAGACAAGCGCATCTTCTCCACAAACGGCCTGGAGCTCGTTGAGAATCCTCCCTTCTACTTCGGGATGCTGCGCGAGAAGGTAGAGGCACCTGTTCAACCGACTACTGTCGAGCACAGGGTGCTACGCCAACCGTCTATACCGAAACTACCCACAACCTGCTGAAGTCGAAAAGCTACATGCAAGAGGATTATTGCGGTGACTGCATGGAGTCGAAGGCACCAAGACATGCCCTGAGCTGTGGTATCCCGGCCGGCGATGAGGAAGTTCAACACCAGGTCCACCAGAAAATCCGGTGACGAGTTGGGTTCGCTTTTCATAAAAAGGCCCACGAAACTGTCCCCGGCTTCCGTATCCAGCGACCGGGACAGCTGCTCCACGATGCCTTTGCTATATTCCCTCAGGCTTCGCATGTGGAATCGGCTGTCTCTTTCGGAGCCAACGGCGAAGAACTGAAAGAGGCCTGAGGCTGGCAAGTCAACACTGTGACTGATAAGTGATTGATTAATGTGTACATGACCAGGAGGAAGGAATCGGTACCGAGGCGCGCCAACCTGGCAGCACGAATCGCCTGAACACAATCCTCTGCGCCTCATCAAACGAGCGCAGAAACGGTGACACAGGATTCTCCAACGACCCGATGGAAGTTCCAAATCCGATCTCTCCGATCGAGTCCAGCGTGAAGCGGTTCAGCAAGTTGAAAAGGTCAACCACCGGTTCTGGGTTGTTAGACAATATCTCCAATACCTTCTGGCAGTTCCTCTGCAGAACTCGCCTGGGCTTCGTGGGCCACAGTGCTGCCCTCAGACACGACTTTACAGATGTTGGGTCCTACTGTTGCTAGATGTTCGTAGCATGTCAGTTTGAGTAAATCGGTTGTGCTTCGATGTCTGGCGTCGGGCTGGAGTGTCGCGACAGTGCTTCTTCAGAACTTGTTGTGATGTCTCTCTGCACTGCTGTGCTGCGGAAGGTCCTCTATTGCCAGTGTTGCGTCCGCACCGCTTCTTTGGCATGTTTTGTATTTTCTGAGCGGCAATCCGCACTCAAGCTTTGATAGCATCTTCACGGAATGGTCGCATGAGGTCCAGTCAGACAAGTGTACCGCAAGCTCATGTTCAACAAGCTGGCAAGCAGGTGGGCTTCATGTTCGAAGGGCATGTGTTGCTTGATACAAAACGAAAACTGACCAAGGCTTGCCCCTCGAACCAGCCAAGTCTCCAAATGTGATTTTTGAATCTGCTTGCGGTAAACATCTGCGATGCCGTCTTCCTCTGTTTGTACCAAAGGTCGCCATCTGCATTGAATATGCCGTCTCCCAACAACTCATGCACAGAATCATGGAAAGCTTCACCCTTCGGGAAATTGTCGAAGTTTGTCTTGAGCATGTACTCAACATTGCGAGGGTCTCTGGTAATAACCAAGGGTCGCATGAAGTATTGCAGTACGCCGCAGTGAAGGTAAAGCGTGTCACCATCTGTCTCGTGATATTGGGCCAAATTGCTGTGGGTTGTGTTCCTGGGTCGGGCGAGAAGGAGTGGAACGACATGATCGTTGCACGAACAAGCGATTTGGGACTTCTGATGCAAGAGCCTATCAGCCGGCCCTACAACTCGTGAGAACCATCTGTCGCCGCGCTGCCTGGCAATCCCCAACCCCTTCCTCGGTCGAGATGCTGGCTAAAGTTCTTCCACATATCTGGAAGGCATCCCAGCAGCCCCGGTCTGGTGAGCACGGTGCATCCTTTGGGCTGGCACCTGATTCTGTGGCATGTCCGTACTGTCAGAATCTGATGAGCTCTTGCGACTTTGCCAATTGTGATATTGATGCTGCTTCAGGCACTGGTGGAAGAAGTACTGCTTGAGAGCTGCCGCAGACAACAAACAAGCCGCTCCACCAACAACGACTTGAACGGTTGTCTTGTCCACCTGCCAAAAAAACCGTGTTTCCACAAGTTGCCAAGCATGCACTTGTGAGCCCGTCCAGCCCACCCCACCCACTCCAAATGCCTGCGTCGTCGACAACCTGACAGAAAGCATAGACCGAGTCCAAGCAACTCGGCCGTAAGGCAGCTAATTGCTATCTTGAACCAGTGGCTGCGCCGGTAGACTTTCCGACATTTACGAAGTCCGGCATACTCGCGCAAGAGGACAATAACACAGCAACCAAATCTTGCTAGATCCCTGTCGCAGCCAAGGGTGAGGGATCAAAAAAAACTATTTAAGGGATCAAAAAAAAACTATTTTCGGAGGATCAAAAAAAAACTATTCACACATCAAAAAAAACTATTTTGCTCCTGGCATGGGGCACGGCA